AAAATGCAGTAGTGTCATATATCAAAATGCTTTGTAAAGGGTCTGTGCAAAACTAGCTTCACATGTAGGTATCATTGCTGCTAGAAAAAAAAAAAAAGTCTAGACAGAGCGCACTTCTGTGTGTAGCAACACAGGAAAGAGAATGTCCAAGGAATAGAAATACTTTTCTACTAGAACATTGTAGTAATTTCAGGTAATTGTTGGGCTTTGCATTACGTTAAAAAGTAATTTTTGAGAGAATATAATTGAGAGGATGACCTTATATCCAAGCAGGAGCATCTCACATAAGTCTTATGAATGTTATTTTACCATATGAATGTAGGTTTTTTCCATATTGATGAAAAACACTGTCTTTAATATCGAGCTTCATGTGGCTTAGTCCTCAACTGTGGCACACATATATGGTACGCAATAGAGTAGCTACATTTTTAAAAGTTACCTTCAGTCCCTTTTTACAATGGCCAGCTTTCTGGTAGATTTTCTTGTTGTTTGACTCTACTCCCAGGCGACACATTCAGATGCATCAGTCTTAGAAAATTGTTTGAGTAAATAAAGATTAAAAGGAATCAAATGAGTAAGTAGATATTAAGTCCAAAACAAAGTAATCTTTTTCCTGTTTATTTCATTGCTATATTTAATAAAATCATAGCTCAGTAAGTAAAATGGTTTACTTTTTATGCTTCTCTTTATCTTGATGTTTCTGGAAAAATGAAGAAATCCTATGATTCAAAATCTGCTTGGTCACATATACAAAATAATAATTTATTCTATACTGTTTATATTCTGATGCCTCCCAGTGAGGTATTGTTCTGATGCAGGTTTAAGCTTATTGTGGGCTCACAAAATATCAATCAAAATGTATTTCAGAAATGCTTTTGCTGACAATAACTTACTAACAGCTTGTGCCAACAAAAAAATTAATCTCTTAGTTTGAAACCTGTGTTGTTCTTTCCAGTCTTAGCATTCTTAGAAGATTAATTTTTCATTTAACAAAGTTATGTAATGTAGTATAAACTATTTAGCCTCTCTGCATAAATGAGAACTTTCTCACATAGTGCAGGTGAGGAGTCAAGTAAGTAAAAACTACTCATATTTAAGATAATGACTGCCATAGCCATCACAAATACAAAAAAACCCCTATTAATACAAAGAGTTGGCTTTTGTTTAAGGTACAAATAGTGGGACCAGCTTGAGATGCTCTTAGGTGAGGACAACTGTGAACTTTTCCCTAGTTCTTCGTACTATTTCAGTCATATCTTCACTTGGTACAGGTTATTTTGCTCGTAGCTATTTAAAACCTCCACAAACCACAGATCTTTTGATTTTAGCTGTTATGAATTGCTTGAAGTTCATCGAGAAACTATAACGGTTAACATTTTATGGTGTAAATGATACTTAAAATGTACACAAAATCAACTTCACTTGTGTGTCATTCTAAAACAAAGCCTCAAATAATCCTACATAAAAAACATCCTTGTGTCAGTGGTAACAAATATATTTAACCTCATATGGTGAGGTATGTTCTTCTATAAAGGACTTGCTATTTAGCTTAGAAGTGACTAGGTTCAGCAACTTCATTAAAGTTACTTCAATGCTCTGAATGTTCTGAAATAACAATTCTTAGCTTTATTTCGTGTTTCTTTTCATTTTGGTCCTTACCTCAGTTTTCTCTACTTTTTTATTCTCTGATTTCTCTGATCTGTTTGAGTGATTCCCCTAACATTTAAAAATGTGGTGCTGTCTCCATTAAATTTTGCTCCAAATCCTTAACTGTGCTGTCAGGAAAATGTAAATCCAGCTTGGGAATTCATGCTAGCAAGGCCCGAGTTTGTTTTAACTTTGAGCATGTTGGCCAAACAACAATAGATTGGGTCCCAAGACCTTCAGACCTCTGTAAGGAAAACAAATGCACTCTAAAGAGGATAGGCCGAGAATTTTTTTTGTTGATTTGGATTAGCTACATGTCCTGACCTTTCATTGAGGACTTCAGCATTTGACAAAGTCATTGCCGTAGCGTGCTGATGAAATCAGCTGATGCTGACTGCTCTGCACAAGTACCTCTGCTGTACTTTGCCTGAGAATTGGCACAAATTACGGTTAACATGATTAGAAATAAAATATTAACACCTTAACAGCAGAAGAGGAATTATCAATTTCTTATGTGGCACAGGTCAAATGTGAAGAGGCATTCATTACTCAGTACTACCTTGAGCATAGGGAGACACTGATGTTATTAAATAAACCTGAGGTTTTAGTCATGTTAAATACAAGTGACAATTAAGGGTCATTTAAAGTGTCTTAATGACTTGCTTAAAAAATGATCTCTACTGAAATTCTCATGTGTTATACTGAGGATTTCTCTTAGCGATACCAAGCTTAGCAAGCAGGTGGATGTGAGATAAAGCACTTGCCACTTTCTCTCAATAAACATAGACAAATATGCACACAGTTACATGAATTTAGCTGAGTTTGGTTGCAGCTGACCCTGAGATTCATAATTTGTGAGTGGAATTCAGGTGGAGTTTTATGTTGTGAAGGACTCTACTTAATGCAGTGTCTGTTAGGCAGTCTGAACTGTCTCTCTTCTGCAGCATGTGTTTTGTTGTACTCTTCCCTGAAGCCAATGAACCGTATCAGTGATTTTTATTTAAATTGCTATGTGATGATCTGAACTGGTGCCGTGCAGCTTTGCAAGTAATTTACAACAGTACGCTGATGATTATATGATTTTTCTGAAGTGGTTTCATTTGATTTCGTGATGAAGCTAGTCGCTTGAGTCAGGTTTGAATCTCCCATTGCTCCAACAGAAAGGAATCTTAGAAGTAACTGAACAGGAGTGTATTTCTAAAGCCTGAAAAAGTGGTAGCTTAGAGCTGTTAACATGACACTTTTCATTACTCTAATAGTAGTCTGTAGAGTGGGTCTTGCATCCAGGTGTTACTGTGTAGAAGCAGGAATTTTAGCACTAAAACCAAATGGTTGGGGTTGCTAACCACATTTTTAAGTAATCTCTGAGTTTAGGAATGACAACGGAGGCATCTTTATTGTGGAACTATTTGAAGCAGTTCACAGCTTACTAAAATTCTCAATATTTACAGGTTTTATACACTGCAGATCGTTCACAAGGTAAAGGAGACATGATCACAATAAGCAGGAATTGCAATGATCTAGTAACTGTTGAAATGATCCCAAAGACTGCTTCTGAAAAAGTTGGTTCTTCAGAAAGGCAAAAGTGAGTCTAAAGTGGAAACTTAAGAAGATGAAAGATGGACATTGCTGCAATAGTAACAATCAAGGCAGCAATAAAGGTTTTGGAGAAAAGGTCACTGCACTTCTGGAGAAAACGTTTATGGAAGGAATTATAAACGTGTTCTATGTTTTCTTCTATCAAATCACCAACCTTTTAAAAAAAAAATCTAATAAAGTACTTAATATTCTTATAGACAAAAATACTGGTCCAAAATTGCTTTCTTCAAGTATTTTTATGTGGCTGTTACTTAGCTTTAAATACACGTCCAGTAACTTATCCTAGGTAATAATGTAATTCCTTACACGCTTCCTTCTTAGTGGTGTGACTAGCACTGCTTACTCTTAAATAATTCAGTACTTAAGTTCTACACAAGCCTGTTCAGTAAGAAGACACTGGGTGCTGGATGTGTCAGAGAATCCAGTTTTGGCTGCTGTCTTTCAAAACATAACCAAGAAGATCACAAAAGGATTCTAAATGTTCATTCAGGCACTAGAAAAGTGGGACGCTAGACCCATGTCTTCAGGATGGAGCCCTGATGGGATGGATCCCATTGCATAGGATATTTTGGGGTGTTGAGAGATCTGGTCTTTCTGTTGAAGATACCTGTTGTTGCAGAGAATTGAGAGAATTCACATATGGAAAACACACCTGGTCTATGGCAGACATAAGAGAGAAAGCATGCCAGGCTGCTTACAGCTCCAAATACTCTTCAGGCAGTTCTCTTGAATACAAAATGCATCAAAACTAGTCCTTTAAACAGAAACTGGAATTCAGCACAGCCCTAAACTTTACCCCTGGAGAGCAATTGCTGCTTCTGTTTGTAATGAAAACGTGTTGCATTAACCTACTTGTACAATGCTTTTAATTTCTGTAGCAAGTTAGAAAAAAAAGTTACAGCTCTTTCAGGAGCCATAATGTAAAACATCGCTGCTGTGTGTCCAGGCATAACGGTTACATCAAACTACAGTAAAAAAGGCAAGGAAGCCACCTCACGATGGCTATGACTTTGTGCATTTAATTTATCCATAGAACTGAATTGTGTAGTTTTTAATTACAGCAAATGTAGAGTACAGCTGTGTGTACTGAAAAAAAAAAAAAATTAAGTTGTGCTGCTCGTGGGTAGTACACTGAGGTGTCAAAAGTTGCAGCAGCGTGTGAATTATGGGGTGTAGTTAGACCTGCAGAAAATATCCACCATGTCAGGGCGTCTGGAGTGTCCTGGAGTACCACTTACTGCTTTTGCATGAAACAAGTGGTCCTAACACCCCCCCTTTTTTTTTCCTTCCTCCTCAGACTATAGATCCAAGTTATTTAAGTCCCTCTTGTTTAAGGCTACTGCTTATAGCAGTCGGGAGGAAGAGTTCATTGAAGCCTTCTCATTGTCCCAGGCATCAGGGATTCCCTCTTTCTAATTTACTTGCATAGACCCTCTAGATAGTCTGACCGCATGCGAAAAACCAAGCATCGATTTATACCAAGTATCAGCACGGAAGAGCTTATGATCGTTACAAATTTATGTCATGAAGAAATCAGAAAGGAAGGCTCAGTTCTCCTTGCTGAACCCTGATCCAAAGTTGTAGACGAGAAATCAGTGGAACAAGTGTGCGTCTTTAGCTCATTGTCACAGGTTCTTCATACGAGATAAATATTATTTGTAACGTCTCCTTGTAATGACTGGCAGCATGCCTGCCTAACATGACAATTGGTACATTTGCAAGTGTTATATACCTTGATATTTTAATCTTTATTTATGCAGGGATTCAAACCAATAGTTTCCACTGACTCCCCAGCTCTGGTTTTTGGGACAACAACTAAACTTGCTTCAGATTTACCAGCAACTGATTCTTTCTTGGGTAAAAACAAGGTGCCAGACCTACAGAAACTTTTTCAGGTAACGACAACTTTGAGAGTAACTTAAAGAAAACTGGAGAGTGGGGTATATCTTCCCTTATTTTGATGTGGCTATCTCTTTTTGTCATTCTACAATACCAAAATTTTGTGGTCTAGTTAAGAAAGCATCAAGCACACTATAACCTGCATACTTATACTACACTACAAAGTACATATGCCTTGTATAGAAAATAAATACAAAAAGTGGAAGGTCTGGTAACACTGTCCTTTTGGTGGCTTCATAAGATGCTTATTGTATTATTTGACTACTAGAAGCACTTTCTGTATGGGAATCAAAGCATGTGCCTTAAAGAAAATAGTAATTTGAGTATTTCTGAAGCTGTTTATAATGCGGTCTAGGAGCAGTAAAGTAAAAGTTTTCAAAGCCAGTTAGCTGTGCAATTTCTAAGATTACTAGGACTTCTAATAAAACAATGTAGTTAAGCATTTTTTAAAAAACATCAGGAATGTGCTTTATATAATGTTCCCTTTTCTCTCTTACATGCCACTTGCATTTGGAATGTGTCAGTCTGACTTGGTGAATAATTTTTCATACATATCTTTTCACATTCTTTTGCTAGTGACACTTTTCCCATCCAGCTGCTCTTTAGAAATATTTCAAAATACAATCCTTCTGCCTGCACTTAACAGCTTTGGCTAAACAAATTAACCTTCCTTTGCATCTGTCTTGCTAAATGAAAACCACATAATACACTTGATTTTAGATAGCCTATTTGACTTCCCTTATGGAAGTCTTTTAATTTACCCAGGTAGCTTGTTCCTTATGGCCTTGATATGGGTGTTCATTTCTTTTGTTTGTTTGTTTTCTTTTTAAACTCTTCTCACAGAAAGCGGATGGGCTGCCAGTACACCTGAAACGAGGAGTTCCCGATAAGCTGCTTTACCGGACCACTATGGCTCTAACAATAGGCGGGACTATCTACTGTCTAGTAGCACTGTACATCGCCTCACAACCAAGAAATCAAAAGTAAATGAACCACAGCTCATTGGACTTGGGACAATTCTCCAAAGGACCTCCTGCATGTATCTCTTTGCACTTGCTTTAATTCTGTGATCATGTAGGGTTCGTTATTCGGATCACATTTCTTGGAGAAGATGTTTTTAACTTAGTTGCCTTATGTGTTCTAGAAATCAATATAAACAGACTTTAAAACATCATTTTAAAATATGGTTGTAGCTTTGCATTTATTGTCTTGCAGGAACGGTAGGAGAAAGGGAAGCTTTTCCTTCCTTCCCTCCCCCAACTGAAACAATGTTAGGGATAGGACAGGACAAATGCTTTGTGGGCTATGCTCCACATTCCTTAGTGGGAGGATGCTGCTGGTTTCCAAAACAGTAAAAGGCAAATCATTTAATTATTCTAACATACTGCAAAGCTGTTACATGCACAGCTCATTTTACGTAAGCAGATGGCAGTGGAACTTCTCCACATGCTGGTATATTATTAAGTATTTGCGCCTCTGGTAGTAGGACAATGGGCTTATTTCCTTGGAGCGTTTAAAGTGGATTTATTCCATAAGGTTAGCATCACTGTATGCAGCAGAGTTCACCAGTATTGTGGCATCAGTTACACCAGGTTTTGGACTTCATTTGTCAAGCTGTCTTATTGTGCAATAAAGATAACTAAATGAAAAATAAAACGGGCAATTCTCGAAAGTTTCAGAACACTTCAGCTGGCCTAGTATCGAAACAAGCATATTGGAACACTTAAGTTTAAGTTCAAATTGTAGATCTCAAACCAGACAATTGATTCAGCTGCCTTACTGTAATCTTTTTGAGATGCTAACCCTCTTAAAACCCTCTCTCAGAACCCATTGGATGTTTATAATTTTTGGTGGAACAAGTCACTGTCATAGCTCCGCTGTGTATTATTTTCATTACACGCACATATCTACATACACACGTACACCCACATTTCCTTTGCTGTGTGGGTGGGAGAGAAGCCAATGAAACCCTTTATTCATTGTGTTTCGTTTGTAATATCATAACCTTGAACTTCAAGTTTCACACACGTCTTCACAAAAAGCATCCTCTAATTCGATAGATCCTTCTCTGTCTATGAACATGAAGTATTCGCTCTTGGTCACCCAGGCTTTGGATAAGCATGGATTTACTTGCGTCAGTAAAGACATCTCGCCTAGAATTGTGCAGAAACCACCTTCCATGTAAATAAGGAACTAAAATTCTCATTTTTTTGAATCTTTTTAGTAAAAACATTCTGATTTTTTTTCCCCAGTTAAGTTATATCAAAGCCTGTTACTGTTCCATAGGAAAAAAAACCAACAAACTGCTTCTACTGTAATCTCAGGTTTCAGTCAATGCTGGTATTTCAGGATGGAAGAGATTAAGTCACCGAAAAAGAAATTTGTGAAGACAGCAAGACTCAAAAATTAGGAAAGAATAAGTTCTTCAGGACTTGACAGCTGTGTTGCCTCTAATGATAAAATATTTTATCCTTAGTAGCCCATGCTTCCACAGCACTAAGAAACTTGTGCTTTAGGCTACTGAATCTTTTTTTTTTTTTAAAAAAAAAAAAAAAAAGAACTCAAGGAGCACGGTAGGTTATTGCCTGTCTTCCCTACATATCAAATACTAAGCACTGCCTGTAAGACTTGTAATACAGGATAATCTGCATACAAGCTGACAGGTAGATTTTCACAAGGATGAGTTTTGCTCAGAAAATTTCTGTGCTCATGGATTTTGTTTGTTTAGAAAAACAAATATTTTTAGAGTTCACATAGAGGATAACAACTTTCTACTTTTTGCTTAAGTAGGTGTGGATAAAGTAACTAAACTGTTAACACATAGCTCATTAACCAGTGGAAATACTCTCCCAAGTACTTGTGGAAAGAACCACAACAGAGACTTACCACTCAGGTCCAGCTTGCTTAAAGGGAACTCGGCTAGGAGATTGTGTTTATGTATTGCTACAGAGGTCATGGCTGGAGCTATGAGTATCAGAATTGTCTTCCTGTTATCCTGAGTCTAGCTTTCTACAGCTCTTTGTGAGCAGGTAAAACCATATGTACTAAAGGGTAAAGAAAACGCCATCAAATTGCACGATGTACCAGATACTAGATACTATTGTGGTTTGGTTTGTTTTAGTTTTTTGCAGTGTTTGAATTTTGAAAAACTGTTTTCACTTTGCCCTTCTCAAAAAAGCTGATCTAGTTGAAGCAGGATGAGAGTGCTGCTTCAGCTTGTCAGATTCGCATCCCTGGTTCAGTTGGAGGTTAAAGAACAAAGAGGCCGTGGTTGTCTGGAGCCATTCGTCAGGGCTCCAGTTGTGAGAGCATTTCTATGTTCCTGCAGCAAAGTGCTCTGAAGAACAGGAAAGCTTGCAGGCTGTAACCAGAAAGTTAGAGTGTGGCAGGAAAATCTTGCCCCTTTTCTCAGTTAGTTTTGAGATCATTATAAAGAAATTGCAACATGGCAAAACTTTTTTTCTTCCTAGAAAAAAAAGGTCTGTTAAATACCTATTTAAAAATATTTCTGATGCTGGACTTCTGTGAGGATTCAAGAGGGTTTAATTGTTTTCAGCTGTTTTTTATGATAGACCTAATCTTAAGCCTTCAGGAACACCCTTACCATTAAAAGGAGTTGTCTGTCTCTGGCCTAATGTTAAATAAGTGCTTCAGTAAGGAGAACCAGGAATGCACTGCAGCATCAAGAAGGCGACTTCATCCAAAGAAGCAAGAATCTGACTTGGGTACTACACCTTCATTATGTGTGTGTTATGTTCTACTGCTTTTTTTTGAAAGATCCTCTCAGTTTTGTCTTGGAAATTACGCAACCTACTAGCACTGAGAACTGAGAAAACAAGATGCATTTAAGTGATAGCTGTTACTCTAGTGTTTTGGCTTGAAAGCACAGTAGAGAATTATAATCTCTCATACCTCAAGGTGCCTCTTGGAAGGGAAAGCAGCTGGGCCTTAGAATACTTGGGAACAAAGTTACCTCGTAGGTAATCATCCATCCCCATGGCATTATCTTATTGTTGAGACATGAGTTTTCCTTCTTAAATGATCTCTCTGGAAACTTGAACGCAATAGTTGTATCTTTGTAATGGTTTTTAAGTAAGATCTCCCTCCCTACTTTTACTGTGGGTGTAGTAGAATAAATGCACTTGAGAAGATATGGATAGTATGCACATATGTCTTTCAGCTGCTTTAAAAAATGTTAAGGAGAGTATTCCTCCGCAGTATTTCAGTATGACCATACTGTCTCAACAGGCTTTTGCCTTAACATTTTAAATTCATAATAGACTGATTGTTGCAATACTAAGACATTAATTGATCTTGCCTTAAAATAAAGCTTGTCAAATTAAAAACCACTATAAGGAATAAAAGCAAGAGAAACTAGGAAAATTGGACTGTAATCTTAGAGACTTCAAAAAGCTGAAGAGCATTTCAGAGCTGTTCCCTCACACATACATACATAGTACCCTCTTTACCTTCCTTTCTCCAAATTCAAGGTTTCCAAGAGGCTTCAGAAGAGTCACAGATCAGTTTTTTCCACTCCTGTTACAAACCATTAACCCCACAGATCTTAAAATTTAAAAAACAAGTGCTTTTCCACAAAGATAAAAAAAAAAATCCGTATATTGGGTACGTTCCATGTCAAATCATGCTAAACTGTTCTAAAGCAGAAGTTACAAGCTACCTGCATTTTATGACATAGTATACCAACTTTTTTCCCTGCTCCAGCCCTTAACCTCAGTGAAAGCCAAAGTCTGTTTTAAAGCGGAAAGTGGGAAGAGCTTGCCTGTAATTTAAGCATTAATTTTAGCAATAAGCATGAAAAACAACCTTTTAGGTATTTTACATATTCAGTACTAATGACATCTTTATTAAAGATTATTAACTTGACTCAATTCCAGTTAGCTGTAGTGCAAGTGATGCACAGATTGCTTAAGAAGTAGAAGCATATTTGCTGTGAAAGGGAGTGCAAGCATGCCTGTGGATCAGGTTATACACTATCAAGCATCAGTATGGCATCTCACTAGTACCATATTTTATCTCCTGGTGCCTCTTCTCTGATGCCAGACTGCTTTGGGGTGTGGCACTAGACAGAAGGAACCATTTTGTTTGTACATTAATTATCTCAAAATACAAGAAAGTTAAATTCAAGGTTCTGTTCTTTCCCCCACACCAGTCTGTTTCAGGCAGCCCATATCTGGCCTACAAGAAGGCATGCATCATCCTCTGGCTCCAAAGAGATGATACTCTATGCTAAAAATTTTTCTAAATGACTTTGCACAGTGGATCCACTCCTGCAAAACTTGGGGAGTGGGAGGGGGATTTGCCTCACTTTACGTCAGCTGCATACCACCACCACCACCACTTTTCTCCTTTCCTTACTCCCACAGTTTTATTCCCAAAGACTAGAAAAAGTTTTCTAGTTTATGTCCTTTTTTATTTTTTTCCACTGGATTTTTAAAATATTCTGTACCACAAAAGGAATGAAATAATATTTAAGTGCTTCAAGAGAACTTCTGAAATATGTCAGAAGGTATACATTTGTCACATGTTTTTTTTCTCTGCAAGTTGAGACAAGCCCTGGAAGTTGAAGTCTCCTTTGTGAAGGATGTGATCCTGCCAACCCAGCAGCTCACAGCCACTCTGGGTACACAGGTGAACCCCATACTGCAGTGGCAAGTCTTTGAAAGAGGCCGTTCTAAAAGTGTGCAAATGTAGGACCACCAAATGACTTGTTGCTTCCAAACACACTATTCTATTTCAAAGAAATGTAGGAAATACATTTTCCTTGCAACATTCTTACACTTTAAGTCATGTTACCTTGAATGTGTACTGTGCCCATTTTTATATCTTACAATTCAGTCACACACAATCTTGCTCTTAATTGCTTTATCCACATGTGCTCAGAGAGTTGGCTGATGTTGCGGCTGAGCCGCTGTCCATCATCTTTGAAAAATAGTGGGGAACAGAAGAGGTGCCTGAGGACTGAAAGAAAGCCAATGTCACTCCAGTCTTCAAAAAGGTAAGGAGGACGACCCTGGCAACTACAGTACAGGCTGGTCAGCCTCACCTCT